TTTAATCTCAACACGTTCAAGGTTGAGGTAGGATTGTAAATTAAGGGCAGCCTGGACTACACAGCAAAACTCTGCCTCAAAAAAAAAAAAAAAAAAAAAAAACCTGAAACCATAAAAAAAAAACCCAAAACCTGGGCCAGCCAAATAGTTCAGTGGATTAAAGAGCCTGCAAGCAGGCACAGGGGCTGGGGGTTGGATCCCGCGCCTGCCGTGCTGCCCCACTCCCGGGGTGCACTGAGATGGCAATTGAGACTGCGTGTGGTGGCACGCGCCTGTAATCCCAGCTCTTGGGAGACTACTGTAAACAGGCGAATCACTACAAATCCGATGTAGTAGTGAGACTCTGTACACCATGTGGACCCTTCCCTAAAACCACACAAAATAAAAAACCTAAACAAAAAACAAACCCTCTTTTCAGGGCTAGGAGCGTAGATCAGTGATAAAGCCTGTGCTTATCATGTGTGGCGCCCGGGATTCAATCTCTAGCACATCTCAATCCCAATCTCAAACTCTCTTGCTCTCACACTGCAAATCAAGTCACCCCTTTACCACAGAGAGGTGACTTGAACTGGTCCTCGCCCTTTGTGACAATTACATTGGTAAACTATTTTTAAAAACTATTCCTGTTACATTGCAATCACACTAGTCTTTTTGCTTTTTTTTTTTTTTTTTTTTTTGGCGAACCGGGGACAGAACTCAGGCCCTTGCACTCCAGGCAAGTGCTTATTCTACTGAACCATCTCCCCGCGATAATTTTTTCATTGACTACTACTCCCTGATAAATATTCTGTGGGATTTATTCATGGGCTGTGTTGTTGTTTTGTTTTTTCAGTACCGGGGATTGAACTCAGAACCCTGAGCTTGCCAGGCAAGCGCTTATTCTACTGAGCTATCTCCCCGGCCCCTTCATTGCCAGTTAATAACCCTGCATGACTGCTTTAACAACACCATCTACACTGTATTATTTTCCTGTCCTCTAAACTCTGAAAGCGGGGGGGGGGGAGAGGGAACCCCACACCTGTTTCCTCAGAACCGTACACCCAGCGCCCTGAGCCAGACTCGCAGCTGGCCCTCAAACTTCTGCTTAAGGAAAGAACGTGGAGCCTGACGCACAGCGCGGCGCCGCAAACTCCGCGGCTGGCGGGGCGGGGCGGGGCCTCCGGGCAGGCGGAAGCCTGGGCGGGGCTTCTCAGAGTGCCGCTCACGCCTCAGGGCGGGGCGAGCGGGTCAGCCAAGTGTCATAGTTAGGGGTTTATTTTCCCAGTATCCCTAACAGTTTCCTCCCTCAGAGCCCTGGCTCACCCGAAAGCACCTCTCCCCACCACTCGGATCCGCTCGTACTTCTCCATCTCATTTCTCAGAGATACACTTCCGGAACCATCCGGACGGCGCGTGCGCGGACCGGCCCGCCCTGGTGCCCCGCCCCCACGCCGTGCGACGTCTGCTGGGCGGAGTTAAGCGAGTTCCAACTACAGTAGTGGCAGTGTTTGATGGTTTATGTCCGCAGCACGGGCACAAAGTCGCTTTCCTCTCATGATCCTGACCCAAGCGTGGTCCAGAAATAGGATTAACCCCCGTTTCTTGGTGCACTCCGCAGTGCTCAGGGCGGTTCTAGCTGCTTTCACACGTGGTTCGATCCGATCCGGTAGTGGATAGTTTACTACAAGTGAGGCGGGCGTACTGCGCCCGCTAGCGTCGCCTTTCTTAAGACCTCCCCCTGCCCACAAGTAACGCTGTTGCTGGAGGATAAAGCAGATGCTCACTGGCACGCAAGCAAGAAACAACCAAACTGAACTGAGAGCAGCACTCGCGGTCTGTAGAGCAGGGAACGAGTAGTTTCGTGTTTGCCTAGGTGGGACCCGGAAAACCCCTAGTTGTGCAGATTGATTCACGTGGGGAGGACGTGACGCGATCTCCAGGCTGAGCCTACTGCTAAGCCCCGCGCTGCCCAGCGCGCTCAATATAGTCATCCCATGAGCCGGGGATCCGCGTCTCCTCTCTCGGAGGTGGGAATGGGCATGGACAGCATTAGAAAGCGTCTGGGAGGGGTGGAAAGTACGCTGTTTGGCTGTACTAGGCGGGCGTGGAGGCGCATGCCTATAATCCCAGCATTTAGGAGGCTGAGGATCTCCGTGAGTTCGAGGCCACCCTGGTCTACATAGTGTGTTCAAGATCAACTTGAACTACATCGGGAGACCCTGTCTCAAAAAAGAAAACAAAGGGCTGGCCATATAGCTCAACGGACTAAAGTGCCTGCTTAGGCTGAGCGCAGTTTGATCCCCGGAGTGCAGTGCTGGCCCTGCCCCCTGGGCGCGCTGAGATGACCATTGAGACTAGATGAGGTGGAGTGGCCCAGTAATCCCACCGTTTAGGAGTCTGTTTTGTTTTGTTTTGGTAGAACCGGGGATTGAACTCAGGCCCTTGCGCTTGCCATAGGAGTCTTAAAACAATCACTAGAGTCCGAATTGCGTAGTGAGACCCTGTAGACCTGTAATAAATACATTAAAAAAAAAAGAAAGAAAAAGAAACTGGGACCGGGGAGATAGCTCAGTAGAATAAGCGCTTGCCTGGCAAGCGCAAGGGCCTGAGATCAATTCCCGGTTCCCCCAATAAATAAATAAATAAATAAATAAATAAAACAAAAAAGCTCTTCTGCCCAGAGGTTAGGGTTAAGTTAGGATAGTTGGTCTGACCCTCTAGGATCTCAGAGTCTCAACTGAGAAGTGAGTTTAACAGCTTTTTCCTGGAGCCATCTGCTCAGCGGGAGCACTATAAAAACTCAGTATAAATACATACATACAGGGCTGGAGAGATGGCTCAGTGGTCTAAAGCACCTACTTGAAACAAGCTTGGCAAAGCACAAGGACCACGGTTCAATCCTCCAGCACCACATGCCAGCCAGCCCCGCCCCCTGGTGGGCTGAGCTGGCCACACACACACACACACACAATAAATAAATGTAATAAATAAAAATAAAAAAAATACATACATACAAACATACATATAAAAACTCAGTATTGAGAAGGATGATCATTACCAAAAGGATTGACATCTGAATTTCAGAATGGGTGAAGAGCTGGGCATGGTGGCACATGCCTATAATCCCAGCACATGAGAGTTTGAGAGAGGATCCTTTAGAGTAAGACCCAGTCTCAAAACAACAAAATATAAGGAAAGACAGGGTGTGTTTTATCCCCTGTTGCTGCTCTACCTTTCAAAAGTAGGCCCAGCCCCACCCAAGGGGGATCAGTTCTCCAGGGCCCCAGCAGTCACTGGTGGTCACTGGCCCAGGCCAGGGTCAGTTAGCAAACAAGGTGCCCTGTTAGCAAAGGGGACCGCAGAGGGCCTAAAGCTGCTCATCCAAAACATCACGCTCTGGTTTAGAAACCAACTGAGGCTTGGGTGAGCCGGCAGCCCCACAGGGTTAATGCTTAACCTCGGAGCGCTCAGGGAAGACAGCAAACACCTAACGGACTTGGTCTGTGGGCCCCGAGATTTCTAGTTTCACGTGAAATTTCCCAACCTCTTTCCTCCTCTCCTCCACTGCTGCATGCACACACAGCTTACCCTCCTCGGGTGCTGAGTCTCCTCCTTTGTCCTAGAACCTTTAAGAGACCTAGTGCCTAAACTGCAACCCACAACCCACCTATTTATTGTGAAGTGGCAACATGGCAATTAATACTGCCGTTTTAGTTTATAAAAAACAACTGATACCTTTATACCTTTTGTCCCAAAACACAACGACAGGGGCCGAGAAGATAGCTCACTAGAATAAGCACTTGCCTGGGGCCAGAGAGATGGCTCAGTGGAATAAGCGCTTCCCTGGCAAGTGTCAAGCTTAAGTGACTGAGTTCAATTCCCAATTCCACAAAAAAAAAAAAAAAAGAAGAAGAAGCATAAGTACTTGCCATCTCCCTGGCCCCTAGATGGAACTTTCAATGATACAGGTTTTTATTGAAATGTAAACGTGTGGCCGGGGAGAACATAGCTTGGTAGAATAAGTGCTTGCCTGGCAAGTGGAAGGACCTGAGTTCAATCCCCGGTTCCGGAAAAAAAAAAAAAAAAAAGTAAACGTGTATTTGGCACTTTTTGAACAATAAATATGATTTTTGCTGCTGTATGTGTGTTGATAATTTGTCAAACCTTGTCTGAGGCTACTTGGTCGGAATGCCGACAGATCGCGGCACTAGCATACGGCTTTCTGAATTTTCTCCAAAACCTCCTTTGGCCCCTAGAGGGTTGAGCCCCTGCGCCACAGTGAGGACAGCCTGACACCTAGTGGCCAAGAATAGCAACTGCCCCAGGTAAGGGCCCTGGAGAAGTCACCCCAGCTGTCTCGGCAAATCCGCAGTCTTCCTCGCCCTAGCCTCCAGGGAGCCAGGAGTCTAGGGCTGGCACTCTCTAAAGGAGGACTGTGACAGCAGCTTGGCCTCCAGAGCCTAGGGGCAAGCCGGGAGATGATGATGGGTGACTCAACAGCTCCTAAGCACCACTCGGGCGGGGGAAAGCAGGTAAACACTCGGGCTGGGCCAGGGGCGTGGGGGGGTAGGGTTCGGGGCCTGGGCGGAGCCATTGTCCGAGGCGGGGCTTCCGACCCCTCCCCAGGACCGGGGGTTTGTGGAGAACCCGGAGTGATGGGTCCCGCCCAGCTCCTCCCAGAAAGGAGTTGAGGGCGGAGAGAGGATTCTTGCGAACCCGCCCAGGGCGGGAGCGCGGGCGGCCCCGGATAAAGTTGGGACGCGAGTTAAGGGGCCGTGGGAGCGCTGGCGGCTGGGGACTCTTGGCTGTCTGGAGGCGCCAGCGAAGGATGTCTCCGCCGCGGCACCCCCAGGACAGCCTCTTCCTGCCAGAAGTTGGCGCGATCCGGGCGGGGCTGGAGAGGCCCCGGGGGAAATGGGGCTCGCGCCCTCCGCGCGGTGGAGGCGCCCACGGGGCGGGGGCAGCGGGCGGGCGGGGCGGGGCGGGGCGGCGGGGGGCGGGGGCAGAGGCTCGGCCGGCAGGCAGGCAGGCCAGGGAGGAGCGAAGGGGCCTAGAGGGCTCCGGGAGAACTGTGGGAGGTTGGCGGCGGAGGGAGTGGGTCCCGGGCTGCACTGGCTGGAGCGAGAGCCCGGCTCGCAGTACCCCCGAGGAGTGGCTTAGAGGGCGGACAGACAGTCGGCAGGGAGGGGAGGGCCAGCATGCTGCCCCTGCTGCACCCCGCCTGGCCGCTGCTCCTGGGCGCCACGCTGACCTTCCGGGCACTCAGGCGCGGGCTCTGTCGCCTGCCCCTGCCCTCGCACGTGCGCACCGACCCCCTGCGTACCTGGCGCTGGCACAACCTGCTGGTCTCTTTCACCCACTCCATTGTGTCAGGGATATGGGCGCTGCTGTGGTAAGTGAGCGGCTGGGGCGTGAGGTGGCCCGGGATCCCGTGCGGGTGCTGGACAGGCTTCCGTGTTGCTATTTCCATCACTCACCCGTGGGCCGAGGCCGTGAATCTCACCTGATTCCCTGCTTGGAAAACCACCCAACCAGGGACGGCCCAGGGAAACCCGAGGCCCCGGGGTTTCGGCCAAGCCCCTCCTTGTTCCCTTGCCAGCCAATAGTGTGAGCCTGGACTGTCCTGGGACTGCCAGGGTACCGGAGGAGCTGAGGGTCTCTGCGGGTACCGACAACGCTTAAGGGCCTCTTTCCTCCCTCCCTCAGTTTATGGCAGACTCCGGAGATGCTGGTGGAGATTGAGACGGCGTGGTCGCTCTCTGGCTATTTGCTCGTTTGCTTCTCTGCAGGTAGGTATTTGCTAGGAAGCTAAGAAGTGGGAGTACAGAGGAAAAAAGTTAAGTCCTTTCCATGACCTCTTCCTCCACTAGGTTATTTCATCCACGACACGATAGACATTGTGATTAGTCGTCAGGCCAGAGCTTCTTGGGAATACCTTGTTCACCATGTCATGGTAAGTGAGAAAGCATACAATGAGGTATGGATAACTCTGCTGGTGGTGTCTTAGTCCCTAGTGTCATGCTGTGAACTTGAAAGGGAGGCCACCTCAACCCGTGTTCCACTTTGCAAGCTGAGGTGCAACTATCCTTGTGTTCTTGCTCAATATACTGCAAATAGGAGCCACTATGCCCAGAACCTGTGGGCAGAGATCGGAATGAAAAAGCACCTTATCTATTTTAAATTAGGCCAGAAGAATTTGGGAAGACCAAGTTAGGAGTCACAAATTCAAGGACAATCTGAGTAGCAGTGAGATCGGGTCTCAGTAAGAGCTAGGTGTGTCTCAGTGCCCTTGGGCTTGATCCCGGATACAAAATGGAAGGGGAAGATTGTCCAGTTCTCTGGTGGTTACATTTACTCAACTCAAAGGAGCCTTGACACTTAGGTCCCCCACTTGTATTCTCATTTATCCCCTAGGCCATGGGTGCCTTCTTCTCAGGCATCTTCTGGAAGAGCTTTGTTGGTGGAGGCGTCCTAACACTACTGGTGGAAGTCAGCAACATCTTCCTTACCATGCGCATGATGATGAAAATCAATAATGCCCAAGATCTCCTCCTCTACCGCCTCAACAAATATGTCAACTTGGTCATGTACTTTCTCTTCCGCCTGGCCCCTCAGGCCTACCTCACCAACTTCTTCCTGAAGTATGCAGGCCAGAGGACCCTGGGCACCTTTCTGCTGGCCATCCTGCTCATGCTGGATGTGATGATCCTCATCTACTTTTCCCGCCTTCTCCGTTCTGACTTTTGTCCTGAACGTATACCCAGCCACCAACACAAAGACAAATTCTTGACTGAGTGAGAGGAACAGAGCCTGGACATGTGGCAAGAACAGCAAACATAACTAGAACAGAAACAGACCATTTATAAACTGGGTCTATCCCAAGCCTGGACATCCCTAGGGGCCAGTCTGTACCCTGAGCCTACTACACCCACACTATTGAAAACACTAATGAAAGCATTCCTCTGAAGCCTTAAAATCTTCTCTTGGGCAACTAGAGAGGGGAGCAGACAAACCGGTTGGACATGGTATGTGGGTGTGAGGACAAGGAGCCAACCCAAACCCAGCCAATTCACAGACCTGAAATGATGCTAATGACAATTCTAAACGTCCAGGGATAAAGGAAAAGGGGATCCTGTAAAGCTTATTCCCTTGTCCCAATGAGTTGTCCTAAGACAAAAATAACCTTCACCTGAATAATAAAATATCTCTGGTGGTATCTACACTCTCACCACCAGGTTATTAATGAGTGTCACGGCTTGGTAGACTGATATGTGTTCCAACAGGTAAGTGTACCAAGAGTCTTATTCAGCTGGAAATGCAGCTCACGGGTAGGGAGTTTACCTATCATGTGTCAGGCCCTGGCTTTGACCACCATCACCCCCGGAGTCTTGCACAAGCCCTGCTGGCTTAGTGTATCCCACAGTATGGCCTTTCCCAGCCCAACCAGGAACTGACATAAAACACAAGCACATATACTGAGAAAAAAGTATGTATTTAGAATTAGCCAGCTGGACTCAGTTTAGATGATCCCAATCTGAAAAACAAAATGGAGCTTTGTTACTGGTGTTGAAATAGGAAGATTTAAGACGGGGTGTTGAAGATGACAGACTTGGTGGACAGAACTTGCTAAGGACAAGGGTGCAGTCAGTCAGTTTCTACTAATCAGGGACAGTCAGGCTTTGGTCGCTAACAGACTCATCATTTGCACCCAGTGGGTCGGTATATTATATTGGGTGGGAATATACAGGAAAGGAAACCTACTTTGTTGGCAACATCCAATGCATCATAATCAGGAGCCAGTCGAACATATGCCTTCTTCTCTCCATCAGGCCTAGGTGGAGAAGAAGTTTTAGCCTTTGCTGCTCTCACTGCCCCTCTCCTTCTTTCCCCTAGTCCTCTGGTGCATCAGAGGTTCCTTTGTTCATGTTATTCTTTTCCAAATAGTGAATTTTCCATCATTTGCACAGAGGGGCACAAGACACTTGACACTAAACCTATATAATCTAATATAATCTGTACTACCCTACCCCATCTGTGTCAGTGAAGTTCCAGAGCCAGTTTCTTCAGATCTATACTTGATAAAAAGGACTAAGTTCACAAGGGTGCTCATATAGTATAAATCTTGCTTCTAAGTTCAATCCCCACTTCCATTAAAAAAAAAAAAAAAAAAAAAA